ATAGAGACAAATAATAAAGTAGAAAAGAACAGTGTGCAGCAGGAACGGCTCGTCTACAGCAGCAGCAGCAGCAGCAGCAGCAGCAGCAGCAACCCGATGCCAACGAGCATAACGTATACTAGTCCCCATAAGCATTGTTTCGGAGCCCGCACGATCCCAGACAACCCCACACGATCCCCTAAAAGCATCGTAACAACCCCACACGATCCCAGACAACCCCACACGATCCCAGACAACCCCACACGATCCCAGACAACCCCACACGATCCCAGACAACCCCACACGAACCCACACGATCCCAGACAACCCCACACGATCCCGCACGATCCCGTCCAAGTGCCGCTTGCTGTCTCCTCTCTACCCTGCTGAGTATATTGTGTGGGGTCCCCTTGAGGCTACGGGGCCTCATTTGGGTTGTTAGGGGTCGGTCTGTTGCTGTTACTATATTTGTTGCTGCACCCCACACTGGGGTTTTGCTGGGGGAGCAGAAAGTAAGAGTTGCAGCGAGGTGTTTGTGGGGTTTGTGTCTTTGTCTTTACTCTGTGTTAAATATTAATATTAATATTATATATATATATATATATATATATATATATATATATATATATATATATATATATATATATATATATATATATATAATATATATATATATATATATATATATATATATATATATATATATATATATATATATATATAATACCTCTGAAGCAACTGAAGCAGCATCGTTTCTGTATAGGCTAATACTGCTGCATCAGCAGTTTCTATAGAGCCTGCTGGCTGCTGGGGTGTACGCGGAGCTGCGCGTACACCCCAGCAGGCTATATATTATTTTGAGGGTTTAGGGTTTAGGGTTTAGGGTTTTAGGTTGGGTTTTCATAGGTATCTGTATATACACTCCAGAGATACACAACCCCCTGCTTGTCAGCAGTAGCCAGGCGGCCCGTGCTGCAGCACCAAGCAGCAGCAGCAACAGCAGAACTGTGAGCGTGTAGGGCCCCCAGGGGCCCCAGCCTCTTCCCCTCAAACAACTCAACAGCCCCATAAGACATTCCGCATGCACCCACCAACCCATCACCACGCACAGCAACAGAAGTAATATGCGGCTGTGTCCCCTCTAAACAATCTAAAGCAGCAGCAATGCTCCTGCTGCTGCTGCTGCTGCTGCTGCTGCTCTTGTCTTCAAACTTTCGCACGTGCGCAACTGGCACAATATATGCACTCCCACTGCTGCTGCTGCTGTTGCTGCTGCTGCTATTGTTCCTGCTGCTGCTGCTACAGTTGCCGTTGCTGCTGCCAGTTTCATTGTCTCCAGTCGCAGCGTGTGCTGCCTTTGTTGCTGCTGTTGCTGGTGCCTCTGCTGCTGCTGCTGCTGCTGCATGCGTGTCTCGTTTTCTGCTGCTGCGGGCGATGCGTTGGAGACAGAGGGGCCCCTCAATGCATGCAATCCAAGCCCTGCTGCCAGCAACAGCAAGGTGAGCTGGGGGCGAGTCTGCTGGCGGCAGCAGCAGCAGCGAGAGGGGGCATCTGCTGCTGCGGATGTCCCAAAGAGCAGCAACAGGCAGCTCGTATGCAGTCAGCAGCAGCGGCAAAGAAGAGACAAAACCCACGCACTGCAGTGTGCCGCAGCTGGATATATCTGCTGGCAGCGACAACAACTGCTGCTGCTGCTGCTGCTCCTCCTGCTGCTGCTGCTGCTGCTGCTGCCGCTGCTGCTGGTGCTGCTGCAGCAGGGAGGTGAATACAGACTCAGTTGCACTGTCTCTCTTCATTCTAAACTCTACACACGGAGACACACAACCCTGCGGGGCCCCACGCTGCCGCAGCGCCCGCAGGTCAAACAAGCCCGCGCTCTCCAGCTCCCCCACAGGCGCTGCAACACACTCGTAGCCAAAGCTGCTGCTGCTGCAGCTGCTGCTGCTGCTGCTGCTGCTGCTGCTGTTGCTGCGTTGGGGGGCTGCGCAGCGGCAGAAAGAGAAAGCCCCTGTCTTGAAAGACTCCGCAAATGTTTGTGCATGCAAATCGAAGACAGATATCTGAGAATCTCTTTGCTGCAGCAGCACTCTGCTGCTGCTGCTGCTGCTGCTGCTGCTGCTGGCAAGTGGTTCAATGTGCAGCAGAGAGCTCGTCCCGCTGCCGCTGCCATTGCTGCTGCTGCTGCTGCTGCTGCTGAAGGCCGAGGCAGCAGCACCAACGGGGTTTGTTAGGGGGTCAAAAGGGAGACAAGAGCGGCTAGAAGGAGACAAAAGAGAGACAGCCTTGCGGGCCCTCAAGCTAAACACAGAAACAAAACCCCCCTCGTCCCCCAAAAGGAGACAGTCTCCTCCCCCCACAAACAGCAAACTGCGAGCACTGAAACCCAGCGGGTTCGTTAGCCGCTGTATAGGGCTGGGAAGCGCCATTTCTGCTGCTGCTGCTGCTGCTGCTGCTGCTGCTGCTGCTGCTGCTGCTGCTGTTGCTGCTGCTGCTGCT